GGGAGGGTCCAGTAAAGGACTCCAGTACAACTTACACTCTAACCCCAGCACTGTCAACCCAGTTCCTGTAAGGAGACTTTATGGGTGCCTCCCATTTCTGGACTGGTGTCTCGAGGATGTCCAGAGCTGCTGGACAGGTCTGAGCAGGTCAAGGGCTAATCTCAGTCACCACTCACCCAGCAGGATTTTCCCAGCCCTGCCCAGGTCCTCCCAGCACTCCCACGGCTCTCCAGCAAAGTGCTGCAGAAAAGGGAAACCCCATTTGGGATCAGGCGTGCAAGATGAGTTCCAGCTCTGGTTTGTGTGTTCTTATTTAATTCAAGGGGGATTTTGAGCTGAAAGAAGGTTTTCTCTCCCAGGTTCAGGGCTGAGCCCTTCTCTAATAATGTGTTGCGTAAGTTGAGAATGCCATCAGAAGAGCTGTGTTTGGAGAGCCAGAGGATTTTCAGTGTGCTGTGGTAATGTTACTATGTTCCTTATGTCTTGCAATAAAGAATTTTTGAAGTAAAAAAAAAAAAAAAATGAAATTCACAACTTCTTTTCATTTGAATAAATAATTTAAGAGAAAACTACGTAATCCTAATAAAACATTTCAATGTACGCACAACTGACTAATAAGCATGTTTCTAAGTGCATTTATGGTGCACAGTTATTAAAACAAAACTTGGCATGTATTAACAGCTAATAAAACCCCTTCTGCTTTGTCTTGCTAATCACGGCCTATCCTATTTAAGCAGTTTCTTGAAGTGTCTATCAAATTTGGGTTCACCCTGTTTGACTCAGTGGTTTGTAAAAGTAAATCCTGTTGAATGTTTTTTAGCTCTCAAATTATGTTTGTAGATATAGTTTATATATAAAAAATTCCATAAATGAGAAGGTAGGCACTCACTTAGGTGACAGTAACTGCACACTGTAAGAGGCAAAGGAGAATCAGTCTCTGAACACCACATCAATGCAACATATGACTGGGGACAATGGTAAAACAGCGCACCTATTTCTCTGGTCATTTACAATACATGAAAATGGGATCCCAGGGTATTCTGGGACCAGGACTCGGGTTTTCATCGTAAATGATCTCAATAGCCACAATTATCAGGAGAGTATTTTCATGCAGAGCTCTCTTGCTCTTGTTATCGCTAAGTCTTGGTCACTTTTTTACTGTGAGGTTGGTCAAACCCTGCAATAGGTTTCCCAGGGAGGTTGTAGAGTCTCCGTCCACGGAGATAATCAAAAGCTGTCTGGACACAGCCCTGCTCAGCTGACCCTGTGTAAGCAGGGAGTTGGACCAGATGATCTCAAGAAGTCCCTGCAAACCTCAGGAATTCCCAGATTCTGTGCACTTCTGCCATTCTCAGTCCTTATCTGAACTTCTTGGGTAGGAGCAGGAGCACCCTAGTGTTTTATCTCCCAATTCTCACCTACCCAGCAGCAAGCTGGATAGATGCTCTTCTGTAAAGCAGAACTGCATCTGCAGGCACAGCTGTCTGAAAGTTCCCCCCGTTTCCCATTTAAGGATGCTGCTGCACACAAGCTAGTTAGTAATTAAATCCCTTCAATCTCTGCAATTCAGAATACGCAGTCAGAGACCCCATGGTTACACGCGGCTCTCAGATCCCACGCCATGTGCTTACAATGTCCCTCTTATTGTGAAGGCACCAAGGGACTAAGTCACACCAAAATGGAAGAGGAGATCGTGGCAATCAGAGGAGGGGCTAAGACAGAGGTACCGATAAAACAGATGTCCTGAGCATGTCTATTTAGCACCAGTGCTGTCTATGGTGAGTGCACAGACCAGGAAATTGCAGTAGAATGTGAGACTTGCTCTTGAGCAAGTGACGGAGGAGGAGGGAAGCATTGGCTGGGGTGTCCCACTTCAGTCCTTGCATTCACATCTGGGACAACCTGTGACACGTACAAAGCAAGCAGGAAAAGATGATGGTGGGGGCAGGAGCATGCTCTTATTTAAGGGAATCACATTTTTTCACTCCCATAAATAATAGTATATTTTTAAAAAATCTATAATTTCACCATACCTAGTGCTCTCCAAATGAGACAGAAGATGACAGTGAAGCAGATGTATGGCCAGTTCCACTCATGATTTTCTCCAATGGTGGAAACTCCAAGAAAGATGAAGATGAGGGTATCGCTAACACTGCTCCACATCTTCATGAAGTATTTGACTGTGGTGTGAGACTTCAGGGAGATGTTGGCCTCCACGTAACGTTTCATGCCCATGGCACAAGCAATGATGCTGAGAAAACGAAAGCAAACCAATATTTTTTTTCTACTTAAGTACAAAAACTTATTACCATTGATAAAAAAATAGGCTTCATCAAGCCTTACCTGTTTGCAGACATCTCACTGAGTAGTGATTTGCTTCCTGCATCGGTCCAATAATACCAGGAGGACCACCAGGATAATAAGACACTATACAGGCTGACCAGACTGACTGAAACTGTTTTATAACAGCTAAACAACTCACCATCTATTGCATTTATCACAGCCACACAGCAATACCTACCATTAACTACACCCAACTCTTCCCATCACAACACACTGTTGTCAGTTCTTTAACTTGGCCAAACTCAAACCATCTGGGCCGAAGAGTTTCCTGCTTAGGTAGGAGCCCACATTACCTATTTTGCCTAGATGAGAGAAGAACATTTGAGGGAATGGGAAACTTTTTTCTCAGCATGAGAAATGTGTAAACAGGACTCCTGTGGGTCTGGTTGATATCTGGTCACTAGAGCTGATTCTTGTAGGACTCATAATCTGTGTAGTTCAAAAGCAGCCTGAATGCTCCTTCACCCAAGGGACGAAAGCTAACCTACAGTTGGAGAAACTCAAGCATACAATGTACCTCACACTGTGTATTTCTAAGCCTGACTGGGCTTACACTGTACGTTATTTGGGCACAGCTAGGAAGCCATCGACTCCATGCAACCAAGGGACAATAAAATGCTCAAACACACTCATGAGGCTGCACAATGAGCCAAAAAATGCTGTTGCTACCACCAGTCCGTTTGACTTCCTCAGGTATTGCATGTCCAAGGTCACTTCAGAAGTGTGCAGCACCAATTAAAACTTCTGCCTTGCAATTTTTCATGGATAATTGGTTCTTCAAGTTACAGGTTACAAGTGGTTATCCTAATTCATCAGCTTTTCAAATCAATACATCTTCAGGCCAGCAATCTTAGAAGGTCAAAACAATTGAGTGCCCAAAGAATTGAAGCTCCATTTTTTATATTTTAACCTGGACAGAAACATTGTGTTCTAAATATTGTACCAGAAACAGCCAAACAGCTTTACGTTTCTGAGATCTGGTTTCCATTGGTACTTGGTAAGACACAGAGTTTTATGGCATTAAAAACTCCTTTTACAGGGAATATCACAGTAATTCCCTTTATATCACACGCAGACTAGCCCACAGAGAAGTAAAACCTTGGCTTGCAGAAGTGCACCTGGGGCTGGCAGACTGACTTTACACACCAGCTGGGACCAGGGCAGGCAGATGATCCCTAAAATAGGTATCAAGCTAGGTGGTGGCTTTTGCAACCTGTTATCCATAATATATCCTGTCAGCCAGAAACTAGTCAGAAAATAGCCATGTAACTATTGCTTTGCAGTGAAAATGCCACATTTAACCACATTAAGTTACAAGGAAAAAAAAATTACTTTTTCAACCGAAGATGCACTTCCACCCACTGTGAGTTGATTAACGGGCTTTGCATTTCAACCAAGAAATACCCACAACCAACAAATACACACATTTCTGTGTCTTTCCTTAAAAAATAGTTGTTGTTTTTCCTCATTGCCATGAAAAAGCCAGACTTTTTTTGAAGGAGAAAGAAACATTTGGGCTTCTCTGAAATTAAAATTGGGCTTCAGGGAAAGGACTTGCAGTAAAGGCAAAGGATATGAAAGATTAAACTCGGGAAAGTCATGATCCTCACTGGGGAAAGAGATCCCATTTTATCCAGCAGCCTGAGACCAAGATTCAAATCCCTTTTTCATGTAATGTTATTTGAGTTCACATCTTTCACCTCCTAAGAAAATGCAACAATACTTAAAAATATTCTGAAATAACTCTTTTTTGATTTATCCCTTTTAGAGTGACCCACTTTGCATAACACACTGAGCCAGAAAGAGTAACAGGGATTGAACCACAGGGTAAAAAAAAAAAAATATTCTTCTGTTTCTGTATCTGCCTCAATAAATAGTGGATAAAATAGTTCCAACTAGGAACTAAGAGATCCAGCAAGCATTTATGGGAAGTGACTTCCAGTGCTGTGGTTTGGGAAGATTTTTTGAGAAAAGGATATGGGTTCACACCAGGTTCGCAGACCGGGAATAAACCTGACCCATTCTGTCACAGCTTCAAAAATTGGCACTGCCATCAGGGCAAGTGGGCGGAAATTAAAAATTAAAAAATCCAACCAAAAAACATTAGCGGAACTGATTAGCAGACTGGGCTGCATTCACCATTGTTGGTTTTGGGTTTTTTTTTTTACTACGTAAAATGATTTTTTTGGCAATCAAATTATTTTTCAAAAGAAACAAACTGCCAAGATCTGCTTCTTATGATACTGTATTCCCTGATCACAGTGGAAAGCATTGTCTGAAATCAAGATACATAAAAGAGGCATTTATAATTTGGCAATTATAAGACCAGCAGTGCAGGAATCAGCTGCCTTTGCAATTGTTTTGCTTTAGAAACAATGCATTATTCAAAAGAATAGAAAATGGGTTCCATAATGGGTACAGTAGATTGTGATTGATAGAAGGAGACACCATTAGGATTGAACGTTTTCTGCTCCATGATGATTATGCAGCATATTTATTTCACTGTTCTGTCTTACACCCCTATAAATAGGCTTTCTCTTGCCTATTCCCAGGGCTAGAATTGTTTTCAGTAATGCTAGAATATTGGTCCTATTAACCATTCGAGGAAACAAAATCTGTAAGATATAGGAATGGTTTATACCCAAAGCAGTATCATTAGTTTTGTAATACACCTCCCAAATACTCCAGTGTCTAGCTGGTACCTGACTTAATTTTTTTTTCTTTTTATCTTCCTTATTATCAGACTTCAAGTTGTTTACACTGTAGCTATTGATGCAGTTTAAGTGCACTTTATAGTCTTTAGGGAAATATTAAATAGTTGGTTATGATCCTAGCACCAGCTGACTTAGTTCAGGTATGAGATCCAAATGCAACAGATATCAGCCCACAATAAACAAAGCCCCTGCTTTTCATCTGTCTCTGCTTTCCAAGGTGACCTTTCTTTGGCCATTAGGATTACTATATCTATTTTTTTCTCAGCACCTGATCTGCAAGTGAAATGCATGAGGTGAGCCCAAAGCTGTTACGTCTCTTAAACCTGAAGGATCTGGCCCCAAATTATTAATTCTATTGAAAGACCTACCCAGTAAAAAAAAAAAAAACCACCCAACTGTATTATCTATAAATTATAATTTGTGGAAGACTGAATTCACTGAAACAGATAGCTTATCTTTGCTGATGCAGTAAGTTGGCTGGGAATACATGAGGTGGCATCTGATACGGCGTGGGACTTGGCTGCAGGACACTGCAGTCCTTGTCGGCTCCACATGGCTGTACCCTCGTTGTACAAAACCTTCACAAAGCCCTTCAGTGCTCCAAAGTGGAGCTTGTTTTTAGACTGAATACTGTAAGGACTGACTGTACTGTAGTAAACTGCAAGCACTTTGGTTCCAGTACCTTTGAAACCTTGATCTCTGACAGCTTTGGCAGCAAATGGCCAGCAGATTTCCAGTGTTACTGGAGATGGACAGAGGATGGATGGAGGACAGCCTGACTCAGGAGACTGGGCAAACTCATGAGCTGTGTCTGAACTTCTTCTGGCAGTAAATCTGAATCTCTGAAGCAGAGCTTTCCATTAGAGCCCTCCATTCCCAAA